GGATACAAAAAAAGTAAATGGGATTTACCATTTGTATGTTTAATAGAAAATACACAGGCAGATTAATACGAAATTTTATATATAATAAAATATTATATGAGGAATATTGTTTTGTTAAGTAAATTCCATTTGGTTTGGTTTGGTTTGGTTGGTAGTATGTATTTTTTACAGTTACATAATTTTTCTATTGATATTTTCAAATAGAAATGCAAGCAAGATTTCAAGTGTGTTTTCTTTTACTTCTGTTTGTCCAATGCTTTTTTTCTGTTTCGATTTCGCGTGTTTCTCTTCTGTTTTTTTTTTCTATCTTTTTCAAAAATAAATCACTTGAACTGATCTAACTTGACTCGACTTCTCGCCTTTTTGGGTCTAAACATACAGCGAGAGCATGCTAGAGCATTGCTGACCCAGCAATTGCAGTCAAGGGGGAAACTACTACTACCGCATAATTCATATTAATACAATCTAGTACAACACCAATTCTGATAAATTCCAAAGAATTCTGCGCAATTCAAAACAATTCCAATCAATTCCGATGTTTCTAAGTCAAATTTGATGATGATCAACTTCAAAAATTGCAAATATAGGGTCATTTAGCATCTCAAAGGAATGCTTAAGCGCATAGATGTTCATTCTTATCGAAATAACTTCAGATATGGCGTTTTTAATTGTACATAGGTCTCACTTCCAATTCAATATTTCACTTCAAATAGGTAAAGGCTTTATGATACATAAAATATTTTCAAAATGGAAAACAGAGCTAGAATTGAGTCTTGTAGATCAAACCAAGTCAAATATGTTCTGGAAGTAAAAATCTTCAATATGCATTCAAATGAATGGTAAATGTCCCTATATTTGCGATATTTTGATTTGATCATCACCAAATTTGACTAAGGAACATCGAAATCGATTGGAATTGTTTTGAATTGCGCAGAATTTTTTGGAATTTTTCAGAATTTGTGTTGTACTAGATTGTATTAATATGAATTACGCGGTAGTAGTAGTTTCCCCCTTGATTGCAGTTCAATTGGAAAATACCAATAAAATCAATATTATGTCCAAAGAATTACAGGCAGCGACAATATAAAAATAGACCATTTCAAATTGCCATCAACGGCCTGAGCTGTTCTAAGTTCATAATTAAGAGCCTAAAAACCCAAATTGATTTTTGCTTTCCATTTGTTTGCTATTGAATTGTTTTGAGGCCATAACCGCCTGCTCCAATACCTAATATACGTTGTGTGTGCACATTGGGGGGGGGGGGGGGGGTTTCAAATGTTACATTCCTAATTGTTTAAGATGTAGAACGGAAAATCGCTAACTCTAAGTACTACTACTAGTATGTTCATTTAGATATTGAAAAAAAAAAACTAAGGATTAAAATCATTTTTGTACTATACAAACCAAAATTCGATTTTGGTATTTTTGTTAAATGTCAAATTTTAAACGAAAAATGCAATGAAAAAACAAATCAATCCGTAAAAATTTGAACTTCAATTAAACACCAATGAAGAAAACACCAGATTACCGTTACCTTTCCAATTTTGGTTTAAAAAAAAAAAATAAATAAACAGAACTAAAAGCAATTCGTAATTATTTTAATCAATGCAACCGTTCACCGTTCGGAATCGCGCGATTTTGAAGCCAAATGGAAATTACAGTTCGTTTCATTTACTTTTTTTTCTCTCTTTTTGCAGTAATCAGAACATTTTTGTCTTTCCAAAACATCAAATTGATTGCTCGATCAAAATATTTGTGTTTTTTATTTGTGTTTTTTCTTGGGAATGATACGAGGGTTGGGGGTGGTGAGAATTGGAAAAGTTAAAACACAGAGAAAATAGAAATTTATGATGCCAAAAAATAGTACGCTTAGAAGAAAAATAACCAACACACACACAAATAGAAATTTGGATAGGAAAGTTATACTAAAGGTACACAAAACTAGTTCGGTATTAATGTTACGGTTACTTTTTTTTTCTGGATAAAAACACACCAACCAAGAATATATGTAAACGCTTCCGAAAAGAATGATTCGATATGGCTAAAATGTTGTTACCGGGGCAAAAAAACAAAACGTAGACTTGAGAATACGCACAGAGAAGAAAGAAAAAAACGAACGAACGAAACAAAGCAACGAAAAAAAAACGCGATGAAAACAAGAAAATAAAAACAGAACCGAACACAGAGACGAAAAAAAAAAACATCACCAATAATAATGTCACACACCATCCAAACGAGCCGGATGAAAGTGGAAAATTTCGTTTTTACGGCACCGAAAATGTGACGACATCGAACACTACAGATGCCTGGCAATTTCTAATTTTGTACACTTTTCAAGCCATTGAAGTGGAACTTTGTTCGATTTATTCAGTTTTTTGGTCTCACTTTGTAGCCACACAGCATCGTGATAGTCAAAAACCACTTTGCATCTGTTTTTTTTTTGTCTACATCCTCATCGCTTTAGGGCTAATGTTCGTTAGCTTGCCTACTTACGGCCACAAACTCGTAGTATATGTATACATATATGCATATATGCATTCTCGTTCAGTGACACCATATATTTATGTGTGTGTGTATGTGGTTGTGAATACAATTGCAAATAAATGATTTAGAAGAAGAAAAGTAAACAACAACGTCTAGAATCGTTTTCTTTGCTACAGATTACAGTCGATTATCAAATACTTCAATGAAGAAATATATTTTTCGTTTTCATTATAACTTGCACACCCCGCACGGTAGTTTTTCATTTTTTGTTTATCCCTTTTTGTGTCTCTTAAACAAGTAGATGTATGTTCTTTATTTTTTTTTTTTTTTTTTTTCAAAAAACAAAAAAACAAAATTTGTATAGTTTCGAAAGTGTCACATTTCGGAAGAGATTGAGATGCACAATGGAAAAATTACTAACAATTGTATATGTATATAGTGTTGAATAATATCACATTTGAAAGACAAGACTATGACACTAATGTATGAATGAAATGGTTGGACGCAAAAAGGATGTCAACTGAAACGCAAGACAAGACAAGAAAGAAAGAAGAAGAGAATGAGACAGAGGGAGGGCGATGCAAAGAATTCACTTCAATGCAGTTCTAACAAGAGCTACGCAAACAAGAGAGTAACAGTGTATGAAACGATGTTAAAAAAGAAGAAGAAGAAGAAGAAGATGATGAAAGAAAAAAATAATTAAAGCTTTTGAAATTATTTATCAAGGCGTTTGGATGAAGCAAAATCCCAACAACTGGACTACCGGATTCATTGTGGACTGTGTGTTTGTCTGTGCGTTATCTGGTCTGACGTGTGCAACACAATTAATTGCGATATTTTTACAATAGTTCCGGTAGCAGTTGTTATTAAATTCTGCGGTTGCATTAAAGATGGATCGTGATTCTATCCGATATTATGATAATTGCATAATTCTCAATGGTTATGTGTTGATTTTTTCTTCATCTCTTCATCCAAATGATGAACACTGATGAACACAGGACCATCATCATGCTTTCTGGGGAGAAAAACACACTGCCCCATAATTTACTCCTTTCACTTTCTCTCTCCCTCACATTCTCTCTTTCATCCCCCGTCTCTCTCTCTTCTCTCTCTCTCCCCCTCATTCGCTCATTCTCAATCTCTTACCCTTTCTGTTTTCCTCTCTATCATTGAGGTAGATAAAGCATATAAAACAAGCGTCAATTCGATGAGAAAACCAAGCTTGTTGAGCAGGCAGTTAAAATCACATAGATAGAAAAATAAAAGAGAGATGGGGCAAACAATAACTCAATTCCACACTCAACATTCAGCCGATTAAATTACGAGAAATAGAAAGAAGAAGACTGTGAATAAACTTTGCAAATAAAGTCTCCGTTATGGTAATAATACGTTCATGCATTTGTGAATAAAGTAAGACAGAGAAAAACAAGACCGCAGAGCTTCGCTTCGCTCCGCTCTACATTCTTGAGTTTATAGTTACTTAATCTATTTTGTTGTTTCACAACAAATTATTTTTTTGCGCACTACATGAAATGTATTTTATCAAAGTAACTTTGAAGTAATATATTTATTTGCAAAATGAATTACAAGATCTTGGTTTTATTTATTTTTTTAAATATACTGTTTCATCACTCAAAAAGTATTAAGAGAAAAAAGCAGATTAGTAGCTCTACATTTCATGTAGTGCTAAAAAAAAAAACAAATAGAAAAGAGAGGAAAACCGAACAATGGAAGATCTCTGTTGATGTGAACAGACAGAAAAAAAAGAGATGGAGTACAACAATTGTAACGGTGCATTGAATCTATATCAACAGTTCTACAAAAACTAATAGAAAAAAGCTTTAATACACGTATGAAAAAAGTCGTTCGGAAAATCCGTGATCGGATTATTGTGGTAAGTGTGAGTGTGTGAGTGTGTGTGTGTGTGTGTCAGTTAATAAGTAGTTACAAAAAGAATCACAAACAAAACAGATTGTAAATAGTTCAAAGAAGTAATTATCGTATGTGCATATATCTTCAATAACCTAAATTTCGATTATTTACTGGAAACTTCCCGCGGGCCGCGACATTACACACATGGGTAATAAATAAAAATGCAGCGATTGTTGACCATACCATGGCAAAATCATCATGGCCATATTTTGATTGGCAAATTCAAATTGATAAAGTTCGAATGTAAACTGACCGATTTGCATTTGTCCTATGTGTGAATGTCGTGCTCCACTAGGTTAACTATATAATTTGCTACCTAATCATTTTCAACTTCTTTACGAAAGTACTGATTGAATTGTCATACTCGTTTTTGTTTGTGTTAATTCAAATGTATAATAATATATGTCTTTAACGTTAGGAGAAACAAACAACCGAAAACAATTCCATTACTCTAATTATAATTATAATAATAATAATAATAATGGCAATAGTTGATTAATTGTTGTCTAATTTCGAAAGACAGATTACTGAATTACATTTAATAAGTATAAATAATTTGAATTTTTTGTTTTGTTTTTGTTTAGATTCACAATGCTTTGAACCATATTCGATTGTCGTTGTTTTTCATCATTATTCGTATCGACACTGGCATCGACACAAACGTTGGCACATCTATATACTCCAATTACTAATGGTCACATGAAAATAAAAACTGGATTGGCTCTCGCGAAGAGGAATATAACTCAAATTGACCGGTGTAGAATCAAAAAAAAAAAAATAGAGTTATTAGTTCCACCAAGAACACTCGTGTTTAACTTGTTTCTAATTATTTTTCTGATTTTTTGGTTCTTTATAAAATGTGTTTCTCTTTTTTTTTTCTCCATTCAAATATATTGACCTTTTTGATTCAATCATTAATTGACAATAATTTCGGAAACATTTTGTTAAAATCTATTTATTTATAAAAATGTTGGCAAAATCGAAAAATAACTTGATGTCTCTCACAATTAAACAATGGTCCAAATGCTCTCAAATTGGCCGAGCATTTAATCAAATCACGACTAAAGCTCAAAAGTTTTTGATTTATCTTGATAATCCAAACTTTTTCTTTCAAATGAACTCATCTGCCTGATTCTGCATGGTATTCTGTTTTGCTTGGTTTTCTTTGGTATTATTAGCATTTTGTATAATTGATAGCGTACTCCATCGCGAATGCCAACGTTCTAAGGTAAGTATTTTATGGTGTGCCATACGTTTTTATTTCGGGATAAAATTCCCAAATCGGTAGACAATTGTCTAGCGACAATTTTTCCAGTAAGTCGAATGACTTTTGAAAGATGAAAATGTTGTTCTATTTGTTTCTCGCATGGGAAATTGTATCATGAAACGTAAGCAAAAATTTGGCTGAAAACAAGAAATGTATTGCACATCGAATTGGGCGAAAGAGTTGGTGAAATGATGTGCATTGAGTTTTGTATTTGTTTTTACCCTCCGCAGCAGAATTAACTCGCCATAATATTGTAACTGGTCGGCTATGTGCAACGTGAATACGCCCATGAAGCGGCGGTGGCGAGGTGGTGTATGTGAAGCACTAATCAATGTGTGCTGAATGTGATATTGAGCGATGGACATTTCCTAACGTAATTGTTGCCACGATTGTTATTGGCCGGCGGCAGGCCACCATAATTCAAATTATTGATACTAGTATTGTTACTACTACTATTCATTATATTGCCATTATATTGGTGATGCACTGGACTTGATATGCCAGAAGCAGAGGTTAGTCTTACCATGCCAGATCCAAGAGATTGCAACAGGCCACTTCCCGATCCCAATGGCCCCGATGACAAGCACGTTGATGTACGGCGTGAACGAATCGACTGCATGCTACTCGATAATAAAAATGGAACACTCGATGATGTATTGGGCATGGAACCTCCCTGGAAATTGATTTTTAAGAAAGAAAGAAAAAAAAGACGGAGTGAAAATGTGCGCAGCAAAAAACGGTCATTTTAGTTACAAGGCAGCACAATAGACAAATCACAAATAAAATTATTTCAATCATTATATCAATTACTTACTATCATATTTCGTGCAAGCTGCAGGTTTTATTTTTGATTTGTTTCATTGGTGAGTGTGTGAAAAGAGACACGAAAAGAAAGAGAACAAGAACGTATTGTTAGAAATTGTATTTTATTGTTGTCTAAGTGACTGAAACGAGCTCATAGTTCGAATTACAAAAGACAAATACATATATTCGCTTTGTTCGAAATGATTGCACCAACAAATATTTCTATTTGGATATCGTTTCGTGACTCGGTTACGAGATGGTGGTGCGTTGATAGCATGCATTATTGCATACAACTTGGCAAATTTTCAGATTTTTTTTTTGTTTTTGTTCAGCATTCAAAGGAATATGTTTCTTGAGATGCGACGTCACAGCTTCATTTATATAAATTAATAAGATTTGTTACAGACAACTAAAGTTAACGAAAACCATTTTTTTATGTTGAAAATCAGAGAAAAAAAATATATATACAGACATCAACAGTCAAGCAAATCAGCGACAAAACTGTACAAATTTTATGCAAATAAACCTAAAATCATCTCTCGAATACTTATGGCGAAAATTTCATGCTTTTTTTATAACTATGCTAAGCGGTAGATTGAATACAAATGAAGACGAAAAATATAAAACGCAATACAAACGAACGAGAGAAGAGAGAGAAAAAAAACGTCAAATTTCTGTAGCATAACGACCTTACAGCAAGTCAAAACAATTTTATAAATATGTGGATGAAACACAAACAATAATCAACAACAGATGTTTCACGTTGGCCATGTGTTGGTAAGTTCATTGATTTAGCATGAAATGAACATTAATATATATTTCGTTTGAGCAAAGCCTCCCACACTCCGAACGGGAAAAAAAGCGTTTGTCATTTAATCTCCTCACTCCTGTTTCACTTGGACGAACATGGCGATATGTTGACTGATTTGACTATTTTATGATGATGAAAGCATTCATAAAAACGGTTTCGTCTCCAATGAAATTGACACAATCGATTTTTCTCGCTGTGCTAGCCTATTTAGTTAGTATTCTATTGATCTCACAAACAAATATTCAAAGCACAGCGAGTATGTGTGTGTCCCTTTCAACTCAGCCACTGGTATAATCCAAGCACGTTTGTCTTCGATGTTATCATTGCACTTGTGGTGATTTGAGTGCAGCATACAACAGAACAATACACAAGTATAAATGAGTCGAGATGGACAAACATCAATTAAAACGTGCAAATATTTAATGAAAATGGTCACATAAATGTACATAAATAAATCAGGCTTTTGCAAAGGTTTGTCAAAAAACTTTTGATACAATTCAAGAGTTGATGAAATTGTTCCCATTAGAACGTTTGGCGTGTTGAGTTTTGGAATTTTATGAGTATTTATTGTTTGGGTTCAACCCAAAATGACAATCGAAAGCTAGCTCAGCGAATAACTTTCTGAATTCATTTGACATTAAGCCAATATCCAATTGATTGAGGCTGTGTTGTCAAAGCATTCAGACAAGTTTTTCAGCCGAACAATGTGCCTGACACTAATGCATATCCAACACAATTGACATTTTTTTTAATACGTATATTCATTGCAAACACCATACGACAAATGCGAACATGATTTCATAATAAAAATGTATTTTGTGTAATGAGTTTTTTTTTTCTAAGCAATTTTGATTTATTTTATTATTATTGTTTTTTTTTAATTAGATCAATTGGAATGTGAGACTGTTGTTGTTGATGTTCACTTACTACATGATATGCAGAAGAAGAAGGCACAGAAAGACTCGATCCAGAGTTACCACGAGCGCTGAAGGCAGTAGTATATCCCTAAACATATTACCAATGCAAACACAACAAGCGACACCATTAAATTGTTAATTTTTTTTTCTCTGAATTATTATTAAACTTCTTACGCAAATGACATCAACTGACTATTTCAGGTTAAAGAGTGTAGCTTTCAATAGGCTTATTTGACCGAGCAACATTTTCGAGCTAATTTCATTGAGATGGGATTGTTTTCGATTCATTAGCTGATGATAAAGAGATTTAGGTGTTTTTTTTTTTTGCTTTGTTTTGGTTCTCTTTGCAGAGGTCACGTTGCATGGAAATTTTGAAATTTTTGATGATTTAGCTCGATTGATAAGCTTAAAATTATTTGATTTGGTTTTTAGCAAAACATGAAATGTAGAGCTGTTGTTTTCTTTTGAATTCGTTTGTTTTTGGATTCATCTGTGTGTTGTATTCAATTTTGTATTGTTTTTTTTTTTTTTTTTTAAAGCAATCTCTGCTGTTGAAGCGGTGAGAAAAGTGTGTCTAAAACAATTTTCAAAGTAGTTCTAAAAATTACGAAATCAAAATGATAATCATTCTAAAATGATCAAACTACGTTTCATGCACTTGGAATCAATCAGCCAATCGAAAATTAGTTCGGAAAAATTCATTATGTGTCATGGTAAAAAATAGTGTGTGTATTGGAATAAAAGAACGAAAATAGCATTAGCTACTGAACTGTATTTCAATATGAAAAATACGGTGCTTTTAGAAAAGCATACAAGTTCCATTTGAGAGGAAAAAAATGGACTGAGAGTGAAAATTGGAATTGTGTGTTGTGTATGTGAATTAAGAATGATTTCACAGATTTTCTCACATTGAAAACAAATTTAAGTTCAACAAAAAGTCATTAGAATAGAAAATGTAAAAGACGATTTGTGATAGTTCGCTTAAAAGCCGTTTACGTATGTTGTATGTGTGGGTGTGTGTGTTTTGAAAAGTTATTATTATGCTCAACCTAAGCTACAGCTAATTGGAAATAAACAGTAAATGCCGAGTAAAAACTAGTTAATAAAATTCAAGTTGGCATTTTTCTTGTCTTAATAATATATTGTACAATGAAAAAGGGAAATGAGTTGAAATGAAAGAAAAAAAAATGATCCAGATGAAGGACTTCCTTCTTAGTTGTGTTTTCTGTCTGTATGCTACGGATTCAAAATCTAATTTTAACGCTACTAATAAAGCCCTACAAACCAACGGTTTCAATTATATATATATACGGCATATATGTATGTATGTATGTATATTGCTATACCCAATCTATCAAAGTCTAGTCTATGGAAAGGAGAAGTCAATACGATGTCGAATTTATGCACATGTATCGTATAATGTGGATAAATAAGCTTACCGTTGGAGGTGATAGATTGATAGCTGATCCGCGACGCTCCTGGGGCCCAATGCTGCTGTGACGTCGAATTGGTAGGCCACTGCCACCTGGAGTGCCACCCGGGCTCGATGCACACGATGGTGCGATACGAATTTTTGGGGTCATCAGTGTATTATCAGATAGACGACGATTCGGAAATGCATTTGCAACTCGCAGAAAATTGCTATCCGGTGATGATGGTGAATTGCCAAACCACCAACCGCCAAGGACACCCGAACCTACGATTGAAATATACCGCACCGAAGGAGAGAGAGAGAGAGAGTATGTTTTTTTTTTGTGTTTTGATTTTGATTTTGCTTTTGTTTTACGTGACTACAATGTTCACATCACACACATCATGTTCATTTATGGTGGCTTTTTCTCAGTTCCCAATTGACTCTTAAACATACAATGGAAACAAGTAGGTGTGTGTATGCCTGTGTGTGTATGAAGTAAAGTGGCATAAAAAGCATACCTGTTGAATTTTTGCGTGCCATATCCTCAGCTGACGATGTTTTGCGCTGGTCAATGCGTAAATTGGGTATATTGAATGGTGGAACGTGCATATTATCTGACGAAAACTGATGCCTCAATGGACGATGCCGCTCTGGTGACGGTATCGACAAATTATCCAGCTTCAATTTATTGCGTTGTTGTCGATCGATGTGGTCCAACATTTCTTGTAGTGTTTCCAATAAAATCGTAAATTGCTCCAAATTCAATTGCGGATTCACCGTTTGTGGCAATAGTGACGGCATCACTCTCGTTGCCATTATATTCACCGAAAGCCCGTATTTTTTGTCGCTAAACATGTATTTTAAATCAAAATAAATCGTACGGTATACATGAGAATAAATGATAAAAATAAACATATCATAACGGACATACATACCTTAACATTATTCGATAGATATCTATGGCAAAGGGCAGCAATAATAGAGACAGAGAGCGATAAAAAAAAAAACGAAGGAAGAAGAAAAAACAAACAAACGACATAGTGGTGCGGCATTTCTATGACGAGAATTTAATTTAACATGATATATTCATTACTTACGAACAACACGAAGAATAATATCTGGATCGGACAGTCGAACTTCCCACAACAACGGCAATACCTCATCGATAATCTGTACGAAGGAAATATGAAGCAATGCAAGTTGTAAATAACATCATTACTAGTATGTCATTCACTTAAACATCCGTCGATTGTATATACCTGTGATTTATCCAGTTTGTCTAATGTTCGTTCGATGCATTGCAATACATTCGCTACAATCTTAAAGTCGTTATGGTTTTTCTCGAAAACAATTTTGATTTTTGGCAACACCATTTTACGAATCGACATCTCATCTAACCACTCATACACATTGGAAACAGCAACCAATGCCGCTCCCTAGTGTTTCCATCACATAATGAAAAGAGTGCGGTAGAGAAAAGAAAGTGAATAAAAATGGAGAACAATAGAACAATGATTGGATGAAATGCTTGATGCATGAAGCTTGTTATATGCATATCCAGTAACCAGGAGTAATGAATGTGAATGAATAGTGAGAGAATATGTACCTGCACTTGAATGGTTGAACTTTCGAAAGCATTGAATAATAATGGCAAAATCTCGGATCGTATGTCATCCTGTGGAGTCTTTTCCAAAATGATATGCAGATTTTCCAATATAGTTACAGTTGCCTGGATTGACTTTGGTGCCGCAAAAACCACTCTGCAACGGAAAATCAAATGAACAGCGTATGTTTCAGTGTTTTCATTGTACATTTGTGTTTGAACATTTACAAATGATGAGCAACTCCTACCTGAATGTAGGCAACAAAAAACTTTCATATTCATTTTGTGTTGCTTCAGCCACTAACGATAATGCTGGCTGCAAAACGGCTGCCAACACCTCGCCCAGTCGTATTTCATGTTGTAGACACGGCCAAATATGCTGCCACCACAGTTTCTAGGATGCATAAATATTTTTTGTGGAAAGTGCAAATGATTAGACGGACGCCGTCATAAACATAGCCCACACACATGAAGAAATCGAGTGATATAAATTTGCATGTACGATGTAAGCGCCAAGGTAACGACCGATTGAAAATGAATTTACGACTCATTCCTCCACCTTGTAACCACTCTTTCATATCGCATACATACATTTGCACCACTTTTTTTCCCTCATTTACATTATCTATACGTGTAGGAATTTTTGCACTTACCCGCGGTATAAATGGCAACGCTTCACGCAATGTTGTTCTGTAAAAGTGCGCCTTTTGTGTGGGATCCTTCATATTTATTACGTCTAAAAATTGCAGCACATGCAATAGTGTGTCGCTGTACGGTGCGAAAGAGAAAAAGAAAACACGGTCGAGTTTACAAATAATATTAAAGCTCTGGCACCAAAAAACTTTTAATTGCATCGGTACTTCGACGTGTGGTACAACAACTCTCTCTCTCTCTACTATCCCTCAAGATGCATGCTGTTATGTTCGATGCGCTTATATCATTCGAGGGCGTAAAAAATCGTAATGAATCAATAAAAACTTTTAAAATTAATCATAATTATGCGATGAAAAACTCCGGCAAAACAGAAAAAATAAAGATTATTAACTGAGCCAAGCACTTCCCACCGAGAAGGATAGGCGTAGAGAGAGAGAGAGAGAGAGACAGAGAGAGAGAGAGAGAGAGAGAGAGAATTATGGCTTGTTCAAACAAACAACATATGATGAAATAACTCATGCAATTTGCTATTGAAATGATAATGGTTAGAAAAATGATACGCTAGGGGAAAATATCAATTGATCGTACGCTATTATCTATGTTATTGGCTTTCCATCGCAATTCATTGGTATATCAGTGTGAATTGGTGGAAAAAATTGAAAATTCGTGTCAATCGTGTACGTTTAATGTGAATTCAACATAAAAATATAGAACAATAGAGACCGATGTACGCCGATATCCGCCAATATGCAGATAAACGCTTATTTTTGAAGAATAACCATACATCAGCGAATTCGTTTAAATCCACGTTTAATTACCACGTACTTTTGGTTAACGCGCTGTACCTAACTTAAATTGTGTTTAATTCATGACACTTGATAAAGTTTAAGTGCCGCGTACTTAAGCTAGTACTTAATTGCCGTAGTACTGATCGCTAACTTTAAATGTTCTTTAGAATTGATGCTGATATCATCAACAACAAATAAATGACACTAGAAATGACATGATAAGCCTACTGATAAATAAATACTTAAGTATGCGGTACTTGAGCAATAGCTTAAGTGCGCGTCACCTAAATATCTCTATCAATTTTAGTACGAAATATTGGTATATCGGCGAAATATTCGCATATCGGTTAAATATTTGAAAAATGTCATAGAATCGTTACAAATTATCATTATTTGTTATATTAAAGCTTATTCAGAGGGAAAAAAAAATTGATCGCAGCCCCTAGATGATACGGTAGACATTAAAGTCGAAAATAGGTTCGTTGAATTGAATGTAATTAATACTTTGATCTGCCTCCGAGGGGGAAATCACTCTTTGAATTACTTTCCAATTACTTTTCAAAACTATCAAATTACTTTTTGGCACGCTATTACTTTAGTAAATTACGAAAGTAATTAGACGTTTATGTCAAAGTTTGACGTTGTCAAACATTGGTTTTGAAATACCAGAAGATATAAAATTGAGCTTGAAGCAAGTTTTAGTTGAGTATTTTGAAAGTATAAAATAAATTCTATACAAATTTCTTTTGAGTCATGCCGCATTTGGAAAAAAAAACGCAATCGAGCCCACACCAAACTATATTTTTCCATTTTCATTTCATATCATTATTTATTTATCCAATAATACTTCGGGTATGTAGTTTATGGCGAACAGACATAACCAAGATGTCTCAATGACATCTACCTCAATTACTTTTTGTACCTCAATTACTGTTTTCGGGAAAAATTACTTCTCTATTATCATAATAACTTGTGACATTTCAATTACTTTTTAGTGATTTCCCCCTCGTCTGCCTCACGATGAGGCTCTCACCTCATGTGTATCGAAACCATAATTTCCTTTTTAAAAAAAACATTTTGAATGGAAGTGGTCATTTTTTTTATGGAATAAAATGAAAAATTACCCAAAGTATTTGATCAATTGCAGGAGTTGAGCGGTTGGTCGTGATGCAGGTTCTTTACTTGTGAGGCGAGACACAGCTTCTTGCAGTGGTACTGGAACACGGGGAAGCATCTTTTGAACGGAATCGGGCAACTAAAATTGGTTTGCAAATACAAGATACATATGGTATTAGGTTCCATTCAATTACATTAAAGGAGCAGCAGCAGAAGCGATTGCAGCAGCGAAAGAAAAATTTGTAATAAATTCGCATATATGTGGTTCGGTTCAACAAGCATCAATTACTCACCGCTTCCAATTGCTTTAAATATGTTGAAGCAGAATTGTTGGCCTGAATCAGTGCATGGCCTTGATTAAATATCGAGCACATAACCAGCCCGAGCGAAAACATATCGCTCAATATAGAACAGTTGGAAAATAGTTGAATTTCAGGAGCTACTCGAAATGGAAATAGCGAGAGAAAGAGATAGGTAGAGAATGGAGGAAAAAAAAAGAACACACGATATAAGGCAGCAATGATTATGATAAATAATTGAATCGATAGAGCTTTTGCGAAACGCATAAACGATGCGAACAATCGATGCTCAAATGAAAACAGACCATTTGTTAAGTAAAAAAGCATTCTTAATAAAATATCAAAATCGCTATGGCCGCAGAGAAACACAAACTGCGCCAATAAATTTAAAGCCCTTCCATTCTAATACCAATGACGCTGTTTTCTTCCGTTGTTGTTTTAGTTACTTATAAAACCTTGACCTGCTTAAAAACTTGAATAATCCAATGACACGAACAAACACAAAATCCACACCGCATTCGATTCGCCTTTGCACAAACGCAAATCAAAAGCAGAACTCGATCGAAATTGTTCGCTTCGCGAAGGTTCGTCGTCATTGAGAATATAATGGGCAATTATATTGGATCGCAATTCAATAAAAAGAAAAAAAACAACAAGAATAAGAAATCCACAATGTACACATACGCATATAGTCCAAATTGGGTTGAGTCATTTTCGATGCACGTGAGCTCCATGGCTGACATGGCACAGGTTCAACAGGGTCGGTTTCATTAACTCGTTCTGGGAATTCGAATACAATGCCATAGAAAACAGAAAACCAAAATGAAAATTGCGAATTGATTAACTTCACAACAAATGGTGCGGTGAACAGTAATAAAAAAAAAAGCAACAACAGCATAGAGAGAAAGGGAGAGATGAAGAGAAAACCAAACGAAACCCTCTGGGCTACGCTTGATCATGAGTTATGGCGTATTAAAATGACTATCGCGTAGGATGGCTTTTTGACCTCCGTTCCTATTTCTATTTTCAGTTGATTACACACTCACCAGTGAACTCTAATCCAGCTAGTTTCCATGTGCCCTTCTTTGTCACCAGAATTGATGATGGACAAACATTTCGATGAATGATATGGCCCGAATAATGCAAAAATGTTAGAGCTTCTGTAATCTGTTGAAAGTTTGATCGAAATAAAAGTGAAAAGTTTCGTTCATTCAGTTGATTAAAGAAATTCGGAAAGTTTATTTTGTGCGCTAAATTTGTACGTGTTGTCGATTTGGTTGAATTTATTTTCGAGAGATTTAAAACTGTATTTTTTTACCGTGTGTGTTGAGTGGAGATTTGAGATTTACCTGTAACAATCCATATCGCAGTTCAATGTCAAGAAATGAATATTCTTTTGCGTGTGCCGGCCGTTGTTGTTGACCCGGCGGCTGTATGTGTGATGCTCCGGTACTTGGAGGCCCAGTTTGAATCGTACTACATGATTCCTGTACAGAAACAAATTCAAATGACATCATTTCAATTTACGCTTTAGAGAGCCACACTCTCCCTTCAACACCCATTTTCAATCTAACTCAGCATCAGATTGTCAATGTGAATTACCTGATATGCAAGTATATTTGCCAAGCTCGCAAATACGGGCTCGGTTGCAAACGCTAATGTTTCGGAACACTCTTCGACCGGATGAATAATTTGTAGAATCTAGAAAAGAAACAGATATCGCCGGAATCAATGTTTTATATCCAATCGGCACCATATCGTATCGAGGCAAAGAATCCAAAGAAACAACAAAAAAGGCAAATCCAAAACTATACCTTTGGATGTCTGAATCGTTCCAGCTGCTTAATCGAATTTCGTAAAATCTCCGTTACGGTCTCTTTTCGCTTTGGCTTGTGAAGTTTTTCGGCGCAACGCTTCTCAAATATAAATATCGAACATTCCTAGTTGCATTCGAAAAAAAAGGTAGAAAAGAAAGAAAGAAAAGAAAAACCAAAACACCATTTTATTTCGCATCGAAAATTCAAAAAAAAAAAATTTATAGTTTGACCAAAGTTGTGTGCTGACCAAAAATAGATGTCGAGGCTGTGTAGTTGTTTAACAAACACAAACTATACACCGCTGGACTACATCCAAGCATTTAACCATTATTCTACAAGTGCTACGATGCGAAAGAAAGCACGTCACACATAAACATAATCACCACCCACGGTTTATACAACGCCACCCACCTACCCAAACACCGTACTTTTACGGCATTGAGCTGTTGTGCTTTGTCTCCCTTCTGGTCTTCCTTTTTTTTCAACACTTAGCATCGCGTAGGATTTCGATGAAGAAAAAAAAAGTCCAAAAAGTATTAAGCTGCTTCGTTAAACATATTTTAAGTCTTCGCTCGACAGATTATAGAAAAAAAGCTTTAGCTTTATACATATTTTATGATTATCAAGTCAGTTTCCGAATAAACCATTGGATGGCCATCTCTCATGGTTGTTTGAGGCAGAGGAGCTGGCGATAGAAAGTGGGATGGTTAGCTCGGAGATGTTTATGCTTATAACTATTTTTATCTCTTTTGGCGTATCAATTACGAATCGAAAAGCACATATGTCATATTGGCCGGAAAATTGGTTCCCCTAATAAGAATTGTCACACACACACACGCACACACACGTCGACCATGTCTTCAATGTAATCTCGACATTGTATTTTGCCAGTTCATTTAATTCACTATTAGCTGATTAAAATGTGAATGGTTTGGAGCGAAAATGTAATACAGAAAAGTTGAGCGGAAAAATGTCGATGATGAATAAGCTATATAGTAAACTGTATAGTAAACTATAGTGAACTATATAGCTATCCCTTTTCATTTGACATTTTTCCGCTCAACTTTTCTGTATTACATTTTCGCTCCAAACCATTCATATGAACCATCATTTCGTCGTACACATATATGTATGTATATTAACGCTTGACGTTATTCCAATGCCATTCAGCCATTCAACATACTAATTTGCGCGGCACATAAAGACACACTCCAATATCGGAGCATTAGAGTACAACGGTGACAACGATACACGGACCCATATAACATCGAATCAAGGGGTAGTTCATTTCCGAAAAGACAAAAAAAAGGTTTTGTCGCCAATGTTGCTGTATGAGCTTTTATTGCCATTTTGGTAAGAAACTCATCAATAGCCCTGTAATTACCTGGCTCGAATGAAGTTTCAATGAATATTCAAGTGAACGCCGTATTATTTTGTTCAGAATGGTGAATATTTGTTCAGGAAATATTTAATAAATCTTCGTGCGAATCAATATGCACCAAAATGCATTGAATATTCTCAATCAATTTCAGAACGGTATAGGCGAATATCGCATTTTGAATATACATTACAATTCTCCGAATTGAAGAAATTAGTTAACCCATTTTCCACTGAATATTCGAAAAATTGAACGCATCATAGAAAATGGGTTGATGCAATTTGGAAATCATTTGATTAGAAGACAATACACATTGGAATCATTAGTTCTAATGTATATTTTAGTATCAATACTATTTATGATTGTAGTTTATGATTAATATATACAGAATATCAGCTCGATAAACTATTCACACTATGATCTATGATATTCGATGGCTAAATATTGGATATGACTGTGAAAATCTGAACAAAATCACACTGTTTAGTAAATTCAATTGATTTATGGTATTATCAAATAGTCGTCGTAATTCTATTAACCTTGATAGTGCGTATGAATAATATTTATTGAATATGTATATTTTTCGCTGTCATATCTGGTTATGTTGCCGAACGAAAAAAGCGTTTTTCCATCAGATTGGGTGACTTTGATATACATATTGTTAACAAAAAAAAAAAAAAAAAGGTTGAGTGTGAATTGGGAAAAGTGAGTACTCGTATTTCACATGAATAAGACCATTAGACAGCAAAATTTGATGGAATTCAGTCCATTGCGGTCGCTGTATTTATTAGTCGAAATGTGTATGAACTTTGTAATATTTCCATCATCTAGTCATATATGAATATCTATACATATCGAATATGTGATTCGAGAGCCCCGCTCAAGTTCATACTCGTTGATTATAATGGAAAAATTCCATGCAAACATTGGCTATTGTAATGGTCAAAACACACCTAGCTTTTGAATGTTTCGCTATTCCGCTATATTTCCTCTCAGCATGTTATGAGGATTATATTTTTGTTATGGTTGTTGCTGTTGTTATACAAACAACTAGCGTTCGAACGAATGAATGAATACGAAATAAAAAGAAGAGAAGAAAAAATGGAAACAATATGAAATGGTAAATACTTACGCGTCCATCGCTTTTTTTGAATCCATCATGAATTTTCCAGACAAGTTCGGGTCCCGCGCATGCAGTTTGTTTGCTAATTTCAAAATGTTGAACTATCGGATTGCTATCTATTGGATTTTGATGTGGTGTAGCTGTTCCGCTTTTGAACTTAGAAAACATTGTTGCTGCAGGCATATCACCACTGGATACAAATCCAAGTTCCGCACACAATATATAAAAACCAAAAACAGATTTCATTTAGATTTTCTGGCTAAGAACTGTACACAATTTTCTTTTGCCAGGTGGCTTGTATGTTGTACGTCTCTGTATGTGTTTGTGCATAAGTATATGGATGTATGTGTGTGAGAGCACAAGAAATTGTGCAAACGCGCTGGTGAAAGTAAATGTATGTAAATAATTTGACGAACACAGAACGCAAACGAAAAATAAAAATAAAAGTAACAATAGAAGAGAGGGGAACAGGGAACAATTAAAGCAAATTAATTAGCAACTAAATAAGTTTGTTTGGGTGCAAGAATTTCCCCCCGATATCGTTCACATTTTACGTATTTAAGCTCAGTGAATAATCTGAGAAGGAAGCTCTCATTTCTCTGTCGAGCACGCTGAAGTGCTACCAAACCAAAAATATACGCTACACGGATACTTTTTAGATTCGATTGATTGACAAAACAAAAGTGAATACCGACACAAAAGAGAACCAGAGAAAAACGAGAGAAATACCCAAATGGTTACGTTCTCTTTGCCGTTCAACATCGTCGTCGTCGTCGTCGTTTTCGTTGTAGTCATCGTCGTTATGCCCATGCCTGTGTAAAGCTTTCAGAGCACACACAAAATAAGTGAATGAGACGCACACGGACATATACACACCGTGCTGTGATTCAATGTTTCTATGCTCGGATGTTCAATGGGTATCATGAATGCCATAAGTGGCATTGTAACAAACAGTAAAATTGCGTTCACGAAAAACATGCGACTCCGTACCGTGAGTTGAAAGCGAACATTCGAAATGAAAGCTCTCTCTCTCTCTCTCTCTCTCTCTCTCTGTTTCATTCAAAAATATCGGCACAGCATGTGTGTTCAAATTAATTCAAATTCATTAGCAATCGTTTTTTATGTGCTTATTTTAAGTGCTTTGCTACCTCAAAAAGAGATAATTTTCAGCCTCAAAAATGTATGTTTTCCACATTTTCAGATTTCATCACATAGCACACATATGAAAGCAGCCAACTCCATTGAAATAACTGAAAATTACCCGGATTTCTGGCATTTTGTGTATTTTTGCGTGGCAGAGAGAGAGAGAGAGAGAGAGAGAGAGAGAGAGAGAGAGAGAGAG